GGGAGGGGGGCAGTGGGCTTGGGGGGGGGGGAGGGTTCGACCTCGTTTTTAACGGATGTTTAGAGTTTTGTCATTATGGCTATGAGCTCGACCATTTCGTCCAATCAATTACAAATAAAAGAGCATGTACTTGATGAAAGCCCAAGTAATGTTCGACCGTCTTACACACTGAGAAGACTTCTCCGTCACAAGAAACGATGAAAATGAAGCCATTCAGAGCCTGCAAAGATAGAAGAAATATTCATTACAATCTCTTTAATTTTGCATGAAATTTAAGAAAGGTACAGAGAGCGAGAGAGAGAGAGAGAGAGAGGAAGCAGGCATTCTATATGAGCTGACTTTTTATTGAATTTCTCAAGCTCTTGATGCATTAAAGATTCATGAAGGGGGAAAAAGCGCACCTGTAAGCTCGCTTCACCTTCCATTTGGACAATATCGAGAGGACAGTGGTAGAGATGCGATACCAATCTGTGCTGTTCCACCATCGGATGGTCGTAACTCAAAGCTGCATTTTAAAATGAAATAGGGGAGGTTAATACTGATAATGGGAGTAAAGGATATTCAGAATATTATTAATGAGCTATGGTTTGTTAAAAAATGAAGAATTTGAACAGAATCATGTGATAAGATGGATACAGAGCTCATTAAGGGCTGTCTGTCAAAACGCATGGCAAAACACCGCGATGAAGACCCTAGTTATTTAAGGCGAATGCTACCTTAAGTTTGAATTTCAAAAGGACTCCAGATCGTATAAGAAGAGTAAATTGGATAATTTTAAAACTTGAAAGTTAATTTTCCAGCCCCTAGGAGTATAAATCTATGGCTCAAGTCAAATTTGAGAATATTGGACATGGAAGTTCTTGGAGTTGACTGCCAGACTTGCGATTTATTAAGCTCTGAAAAACTATCCTATTCATCCTATCCGAGGTACTTCAATCTGAGATTTGTTTCTGCGCAACTATTCACAGTTCAGAGCAATGCTATGGACCCTCTTGCAGAGCCCTATTTAATGAGATTCATAGAAGTAAATGTCATCGACAGGCCAATTGAGAAAATTGAATGTGTAAAGCTGCTTGAAATTCCATGAAGTGGCAGAATTAAATCTACTGAGAATTTTGTCAAACAGTAGGAAAAAATTGCTCTCTAAAGTCCATTTCATTCAAGTGAAGATGGTAAATAATTTGCTTAACGCTAATGTATTTCACTTGAATCTCAAAAAATGAACCCCCCAAATATCTGTCCATATGGAGCAGATAATGTCCCGACTCCAACAGAGTCTGTAAAATGCCTCCTCATAAAAATCGCTTTGATTTGCTGTGAGGTGCAGCAGTTAACTCGCACCTCTTTCGAGTACTTTCCCTTCACCCCCTTCCAACCTCCAAACCTCAACCCATCGTCAAACCCATCTGTTACAATTCCACACATTTTGCCTATTCCACTGCTGCTATTGCCGCCATCTGTCTAGCAGTTTTCCACACTTGACCGAAACCAAATTTCCAACTCCCCTCTTCTTGCCTGTTAAATGAATATGGGGAAGTGAATGCCCACATGGCCACCAGTAGCCCGTTATCACATTGCATCTTCTCAAAGTTGGGGGCATTCAGAGAATGAGGAGAAGGCAGGGAGAATACATCCGCTCACCCCTTTTCTCTCAGACACACAATTCGCTCGTGGTTAGGACTCTGTGGTGAGTAAAACTCAAACTCCTACCATAACTACTACTCGAATAAACTGACTTTCTGAAAACCGAAAATATGTGGCACGCACGCAACGGAATTTTCTTGCTGCTTCTGTTGATTTATAGACGAGAAAGGGGGGTTTTGTGTGATAGGAAGAGAATGGCGTGCGTGAGTTGGTTAGGGTCGAGATATGAGTAGGGGGTGTGGGGGTGGTGGTGGTGGTGGGCAAACTCGAACAAGCCATCGATTCTGTCTCCTCTCCTACCCCACCCTCTACCTCAGTCACTGACAGTGAATCAACAGCCACAAAAAGAAATTGAATTAAAATGGCTAGAATATCATATGTAGCTTCAGGCGAATGGCAGTGTCTTTATTGAACACGAGATGTGGCGTATAAGCGAGGCGACTTATACATTTCAAACAAAGGTGGGAACATTAATTTAATGAAATAAAATTATTAAAAACCAAAGTGAGCTTATCAGCGACTTGAAACTTTGGAATTATTTTAATTAAGGCAGCCACATTTATGAAATCTCATTAAGGTACTAATAGCCCTCTGATGAACTGTTTTAATTAAGTTACATTGTGCACCGCAATTATTTGAATGTGCGGGAGAGGTGGAAAACGTCATTGTTTCCTTTGATGATTAATGAATGAGTGGGAACTTTTGAAAATTTATGCTTTAGCCACTAAGATTGGACATTTGTAGTTAGGTTGATAACCACTTTCATTAAAGATTCATGTGGCCACTTCATTAATCGAAATGGGTTTAAGCCCAGTATGAAAATTTATGTCTGGATTCGTGTTTCCTATTTCTAATTATTTATCATAGACACCAAAACTCGTCACCCAATATAGGATTCCGTATTTGTGCAGTTGCATCAAACGATTCCAAACAGAACGTCATCATTTATCGAAATGGCCCTGATAGAGTATGAGTATTCTTTTGGCAAAACTGCATCTAATTGAAAATAATTACATTTAAACTTCCGAAATGTGTAGTTTTATGAAGATCAATTGATAGGATATCAATAATGTTTCTTTGCATTTTAAGAGTGAGCTCTTTGACTTCAACTTTTTAGTAGAATTTCTGCAATCATAAGTTTAAAAGTTACCATCCAGTTTCTTAATTAATTTTTTAATACGTAGGTTGAGGGTGCTAATTTTTAGCTGATTAATTATTTATTGGTTTTCTGCTATCCAATTTATGCGACTTATAAATATAAGCGTTGCGCGAATATTTGTAATGTTCTAATAGATTTATTTCCTAATTTCAACCATTCAAACCTATATTTAGATGTAAAATATTAAATTTGGTGCTAGCATAATTTAATCTGGATTTATAAACGTTGATTTTGAATAAAAAGACGGGTAATCACAAAAAATTACAATAAATCAATACATGATTGAATGAAAATTAGTCAGTTATTGAATCAATAAATTGAATAAGTCTTGAAATTTGTTTTGACTCACCTTGAAAATATCCCTTCATCCGAAGATATGAAACTGCCAGACGAAGAATGGAGAGTTTATCCAGCTTTACAATAACTGATTGTTCGAAGGGCAGTAAACTGGCCAAATGCTCCAATTCAGCATTCAGGCGTTCTCGATGCCTCTTGCTCGGATTTGACTTCGTATTCCCACTTCCATTCTCCACCTTGTAACCAACTTCTGCCAATTGATTTGTAACCCTAGTAACAAAACTTGCTATATAGTTCACATAGTGTTTCCATCTACCGACTGATTTATTGAACAAAAATTTAGCAGAGCACTTCAACGGCGAGTTAGTTGAGCAACCGTGCATAAAAATAATGGTCCTCATTTTTTTCACCGAGTGGTGGAAGGGATTCAAAATACCTGTCATTTAAAGCATTTGAGAATGCAATGCTTCTTTAGTGTTGGTGGTTTAAGGTAATTTCTACAACCCCCTGCCCCCCCCCCCAGAAAAATAGGAAATTAAGTCAACTTTCTAACCGGACTAGGATGAGTAGGAATTTTCCTTGGAAGATGGACTTCATCCTCTGCTAAATAATTCAGGTTACACTTCCAGTGACGATATTGCTTCACTTTAATCGGGGAAGAACGTCTTTTTCTTCGTCCCCCGCCCTCTCTCTCTCCCTCTCTCCTCCACTCTGAATTATTCATATTTATAGTCACAATGTGGAGCCGGGAATGGGGAAGATGAAGTTGAAAGCATTTAAAATGCGCAGGGTGGAGTCAATTCAAGAAAAAAATAAGACTTTGTTTTAATTTATCTGCATATATTAACAGGATGCGCCATCTGATTAATTTTCGGCATAGGGACAATTGAACAATGGGAAACGATGATTTATTGTCCACAGTTTTGGTGATTAGGGGCTTAGCTAAATGGTTACCAAGATCAGCATTTTAAGGAAGTTGATTACTAACGAGGTCAGAGATATTAAATTTCAGAAAAATAAGTTTTGACCTTAAACTTAAGATGAACGGAAGACGTTGTCTTGATCCTCTGTGAAAAGGCTTCTTTCCGATTTCTACCACTAGTCCTCACCAGGTCAAGTGGCTATTTTCAAAGCACCAAGGCAATTTCCGGATAAATTAATGGATTTAAGGTCCTGTTTGAACTAGTAAGCAATTGCTATCGTTAGGTGATATTTTGAGAAAATAAACTTAAGGATTCAATCCTTTTTAGGAAAACGTATTTTTTTCTATTAATAATCAAGCGTCTTCTTCAATTTTGTTTCAAACACTATACTGGAGAGATCTTCAGAATTTGTTTCCCAACCATCTCAACGGAGGGGAGGAAATATATCGTGGATAAGTAATAAGACAATTCTAACTAGTAATACTTCTAGTAATATTTTGACGCCTCTCTGTGCAAAGAATCGTCATCTTCGAGTCGATTTTATTTGCTTCTAGAAATGGGGGGGGGGGGGGGGGGGGGGNGGGGGGTGGGGAGTGGGGTAAAAAGCAGAGGTTTAGCATTATTCCACTTTCAATGAATGACCAATGAGTCACCGACCACTATTTATGATGATGTTATCTTAATTCGCCACACTTGGACCAACTCTAGCCCCTCCTCCTCCTCCTCCTCCTCCTCCTCCTTTTCCACCCTGTATGAATGAGGAGGAGGATGATACTATCACTCTCCCTCACTCTCTTTCAGACAAAATACCCTGGTCCAACTCGGTCAGAGGAAGATGATATCAGTAACCGCAACAGTAGCCGCGGACAGGAGGCAAGAATGCCATCTGTAGCTTGCTGTGCATTCGATGCTTACTCTGTGGAGAATTAATGACCATCCACATGATTGTTTAACTTTTTCGCAGTTATAATAGGAGAAATTAACGAGGCGCCCGTATAACCTTTTTAGACAATTTACGCAACTAAATTCATAGAAGATAGGAGGAATCAAGGATTTATGCACATCTTGTAAATTTCAGTTTTGTAGAACAATAGGCGAAGGCAACTTCTCCTTACAATCTTCTAACTTTACTCCATTTAGCTCTAAGCTTTCTTATGCTCGATGATTTGTGGAATGAAAGTGAAACGATCAAACCATCGCAACTTACTTGTGTAGACTAATTCCAAAAATATCAAGATATGAGGTTTTTGGGTGAAAGCCACAGATCGCAACAGGAAGCATTTGTAAGGATCAACTTTAATACGAAATCAATAAAAATCTTTCCTATGATCTTTAATAAAACAAAATCTAATTTGTCTATTCAATAAAATGCCACTATCATAAACTATTTACTGACACAAGGTTTCAGTTAGAGAAACTTTAATTAACATAGCTTTAAATACGTGGCTCTATTATGTTAAAATAATTCCAACAGTCCAACAGTATTCTGGTTTCTTAAGATAGGGAAGAAAAACTGAATTGGTGTGGTAGGATCGGTCTTCTCAAATATAAACAAGTGGAGCTGGATATGGCGGCGAGGAATTCTTTCACCACTTCATATGACGTTTTATGAAATTTGAAGTCCGGAGGGCGAATAATCAATCGTGTGTGCATTGTGCAACCCAAATCAAGTGATGCAACACCACTTTGATCCTAAAATCTTTTCTGCTCATTATTTATCCTCAACACGTTGTTAGCCAATTTAGGTTGCTCTCTGTGATGGAAACACAAATATAGTAAATAAAAGCACAGTGCAAGGCCACTAATTTCAAATCGTTATCATCTGGGAAATCTCTATTTGAGGTTATATAGTTATTCAAATTAACCTTATAATTCACCAATGCGGCAGTTTGAGAAGTATAATGGGGAACAGTGATTGCTCTTGTAAATTAATTATAAGCGCCTTCAACGTAGAAATGACTAAAAATATCGATTTTAGGCATTATCTAAACATTGTATTATCTTGCTTAAAGCGTGTTCAACTATCCACAAAAATCTTGAAATTGGTGGAACATGTTTTCAGTAGGCGTTAGATATTTGAGCATTCACAATCCATGGCTTCACGTTTTCCAAGTGTCTCAAATCAAATAAACTCTCTCTTGTTCACCATTCCAGGTTTTAGGAAGGCACGGGGTGTTATCTAAAGATTCTTTGGCGAAAAATTTTGCGGATCTTTCTATCTGAAACTTTACATATCCGCTGAAGCTAAATAATCAATTTGTATGGCAAAATAAGCATGTAAAAAGTTTTAAATAATTAAGAGAGGAAATAACGGGGCTCACATTTTAGTATTCTTCCTCCTGCGTTTCGTAGCATACATCGTTTTAATAACCCAATCGTCGACCATTGTACGATTTTGCCGGGCAAAATTTCGGGTAAGAATATTAGACGTCTTCTTCACAGATATGAAATGGGCTCATAATTTCTCTTCTGGTCGATATAGCTCCAGTGCACGCAAAATTGCAATCTGGGTGGATCTGATTGGCTCCTACCGCCCGTCATTTCGGCCGGACTCACCCCTACTCAAATGCAGGTTTCTGATTGGTTTAGAGACTTCTCGTGTCGCGTTGGTCATTTTTTCTGAGCTCAAGATAGTTCTGGTGGCTTTTTACCTGTTGATGATTGCTGTTATTATTAAAAATCAAAAGAGAATTAAAAGGTAAATAGAAAAATTTTTTATTTTATAATTGCAAATATTAAACGATTTGAAAGTATTAAATCGGTGTGAAAACTTGATCGACAGTTTGTATGCAGGGGGGAAATTTAGTTGATATGAAATATGAAATTAGGTTAAATTATTTATACAAAATGGCAAAATTAGTATTTTTGTCATTAGAAAGTAATTAAAATGAATATTAATAGCAAAATTGAACATTTTATGACTATTTCTCAAAGTTATTCATAACATTTTATTTCCCCTAAAAGTTATCCTTAAAACACCGCATGAGTCTCATTTAATCAAAGAGTGTCACTTGGTAATCTAATCGATTGTCTGAGTATACTTATGAGATATTTAATCAAAGAACCCAAATGCATCAAAATAAAGAATAATTCATTCTCGATATTGACCATTGTAAATTACGAAACAGTATTAAATCTGAACACGTTTAAATGGTTCAAGTATAAATTGGAGCGTTTATCCTTCGTTCTATAATTGGTTGTAAAATTAATGTTATATTTTTCGAAGTTCTGGATTAATTGCTTCGTTTCATTGATGATTTAACCTCACTATTTTCTGTATTTATTAATCATTTGGTCTATTTTTGAGGACAATTATGTTTTTCTAGTTCCATTTCCCTTCTAATAGCCAAGATGCACAAATTGATGGTAAACAAGTACTTTGAAAGGCTATCAATTTCATAGATTTATGAATTAAACTCCATTGACAGTTTTAAAGTCATATTTGAACAGCCAGTTCAATTATTTCTTTGAACTTATGCAATTAGCTTGGCCAATTTCTTGAATAACAAAAACAAGAAGAACTTGATTAAATCCCTCAAAGCGTATTTTCCACAATTGCCCAATGCTTCCAAGGGGTATATGAATAAAATTGCAAAAAGTGACTATTTCCATTTTCTGCTCAATCAGAGGAGAACGAAGAAATGGTACTGCACGCAAATCTCTGCCTCGCCTCACAGTGATTTGGCTGTGAGTTGGTTTTATTAAATACACATATTGCGTGACTTATTGCCCTAACGAATTGGCGACGAATGGTGCTTAACGACAAAAAGGTATAATCATTAGCCAGAGGCGACAATTTTAATCACCAAGGGTTTGATTTTGCAGTGCTTTAAAGCTCCAATATGGTGGGACAGGTTTCACCATATCATTGCCAATTGCGACATATACCGGTGTAATGTATTGTGTAACAGAAAGTATATCAACAGTTTAGTGTAACAAATTGGGTTAATTGTCAAGTGATGACCTCGGTATTCTAAGACTCTATGCATACTTTTGGTCGCTCATATTTTGATCATATTCACTTACTTCTTAATCAAACATTTTCCTGATTTCCAATCCTACTATATTATGCACACCATATATGAGGCTTTAAGACAAGAACAAGCGCGGTTATTGGCTTAAATTGTAGTGAAGAGAGACTCAACATGATGCCAGAATTCATTTTTAAGGTATTTCATTCCGACTGATGCATTATATCCTGGTTTGCAACGATACGACGACGAAAATTCGCTCCAGGTAAAAGGTATATTGAACAACTGCATTCGAATTGAGGATTTTAACAAACCGTGAGTTCTCAAGCAGCAGTTGCAAGTGAAGTTAGTTTGAAATCTTTCTTTACAAGATGGATTTTTTTAAATCGGGGCCTGCTTTCTTTAGACTATTTTATTTTGTGGACGAAACGTCGATACATGAGGATAGCATAGACACATTTCCAAACAATAGCAAATATGCCTTAAAAACAAATTCACTCTGAGCTGAGTTATTAATAATTAGGTTGATTTATAATTAATGGGAGCTATTGTCCAAGGTGAAAAAGTGTATATCGGCTATTAAAGTAAGCGAGCTCGAATCTATTTTTCGTGCGTGAATGACCATTCGAGACATTGAGCGCCGCTTACTCAGAAAAAAATAGCTGTATATTGCGGGCTTTAGTCATCATTTCAGAGTTTATTGAACTTTCAGGTGGAGTATCTTAACTGTTATCGAATAAGTTCATTTAAAATCTATTATAAATGAGCATTATCTTTATAAGGATAATTCAATTTAATTGTTCAATGATTGCTTACACTAATAACTCACCTGTTCAAAGTCAGTAATTCACAGCCAGGAAGCAGGGGAGGAGGTTCTAATTCACATCCTATTTGATGTTCGCTTAAAATTTCCTTCTTCATTTGCGTGTATACTAAACTTCATTAGCCCCTTCCAATGCATTAGCCTTGCTCCACTTTATTCGCTAATCCAATTAAAAGTTATAATTTAATGATAAAAGCCAGTAGATTCAAAAACAAAATGACTTTAAAAACCAGCTGTGCATAATACTGTTAACATCGGATATAAATATATTTATCGACAATTGCAAAGAAGACTATCAAGAATTTACTAACAATAATCATAAATTATAAGGTATTAAAACAATATTTATTTATTTATTTCTAATTACATCGATTTAATCCAGCTGAATGACATCTTTGGTCCCAATATTTGAACTAGTGAGTGCGCGAACACTCTGGAGAAAGCGATCGTTCGTGCAAAAAGTTGATAATATTCATTCAAGTTACTTTAAATTCATTCAATTACTAATCATGTTTGGCCGGGGGGGGGGGGCAATTCGCAATGAACAGTATACTTTCCTCCTCCTCGGTATTGTCGAGATAGCCTAGCTGAGTTCGGGAGCAAGTTTGCACAGGATGATCTTGCCAGAAGGGATAGTTTAGGTTTGGAAAAGGTTTATTTACGTAGCAATCTCATACAGATTCTAACCCATATTTGTTGAACTATTGTGAAGAAGCCTATCGGGTTTGACAGTGAATAAAGGAATGAAGAAAAAATGCATTGATTGGTGAAAATGCCAAACTCCATGGATAGCAATTTGTTTTCTTCTAGCCTAAAATAATGTAGAAAGGCTTTAGGTGTATTGTGACTCATTCAAAATAAAGGTACGGTTATTATATTTAAAGAACCTGTTCTGTAAGAAAAGAGTAAGAAACTCATTTAAAAAATAAACTCTTTTTTAAATGAACGTCATAGATAATATGACCGGTTTTATTGGCCACAATGAAATTAATTGCGGAAGATCACTCTAGTATAATCTAATCTCACTCTACCTAACGATTCTAGTTGGTACATTTTCTACCTTACAGGATTTTCAGTTTATTCCAATCTACTAACCACCCGACTGCCCATGCATTTTCGATTCTGAGCACCGTTTCTTCCACTTACAAATAAACTGTAAGCGTATTTATTATTAAAGATAGATTTATACTCAGTTAAAAAGTGCTGAAATTCACTACAACGCTTAGCCACCACTTCTCAATCTTATTTTTAACAAGCTTAGGCCTCCTCAAGACCATTCTAGGAGTCATATCAAACAATACGGTACGACGCTTGATTGTTTTCTTAAAGATAATTAATTTGATCTATGAAAAAGAAGTTAAAGCTGGAATGAAACATCAATTCTCTCCCAGTTCATTCAATCAAGTGCATAATCTATTCCTCTTGAATTCTGATCATGACCCGATTGATTTAAACGTGAAGTGAGTAGCGGAATGAATTCTTACGCTCCGCTGGAATCATTATTAGCAATGACTTCTAATTACCGATTTAAGTGGCGTGAAAAACAAAAATAATTGTGCATTTATGTGAAAACTTAACAAACAAAGCATTTTATCTATTATTTCACAGCATCATAATGAAATTTTCATACTTTTGGCTTATAATTTCGACTTGTAGAAGCTTACAAGGGCCATAAAAATATTAAAAAACCAAAATGTATTTATTTGAATAAAACATATTGTTACTCATACAAATTGCGTAAACCTGAATTTGATTTCACAGAACCCGAAAGAACTATTTCGATGAATTGAAATTTTGTACACTTTCATGATTGCTGTCACCATTATAGTATTTGAGTATATTAATCAATCTCAGTCATAACTGTCTAAAACTGATTAATTAATTAGTCTAAGATCAAAGGAAAAACAGTAGTCAGTGGGAAATATCATTGAAAAGTTCTCTTTTTATTATCACAAAAACCGATTGGGTAGTCATTTCTTTATCCTGTAGATAACATACTGGACCTTCGCTACCCCTAGATAGTTATACTCTCGTAAGTTCGACAGTTTAATGAAAGATTCTAAGAATACCGTTACAATGTTTAAGACTGGTAGAGCCGCTATGGCCCTGGAACATAATTAATAGTGTTAGACATTTGGCTTAGGCAACGACAGATGAGACAATGCATGCGCCATCGTTATTTGGTAGTTGAAGATCAATTTAAGTTACCATGCCATAGTGATTTATGTTGTTGATTCATTTTGGACCCGAGCAAATATTATCATTTTTCCTAACTTGTCTTTTTCATGCTATGCCAAACAAGTAAATTTGATTGTAAATTCATCTTATCGTTATATAAGCCCTATTCATGCGCAATCTATTGTAGTCCACATATTGGATATCATTATATCAAGACGATATATGTGATGTTACTTTCCCATATTCTCTATTTGTTAATTTAAGAGCGCAGTCATTTTATTAATCACGGTGACCTCCTTCACTCTCTATATAACAAAATTTATATCTTGCCAAAACCCCTGCGTGTGGAGTTCCGTTAATTTCTAGACGAATGTTATCTATTAACTAATGCAAATTTTCTATGACAACGATTGTTGGTGTAGTTTTGATAATTAATACACTCCAAGTGCGAGCAAATTATTCAGTCCTCTATTTTATTCCTTTCCGTTGTGAATGTGCAATTCAACATATCATCTTAGGCAAAAGAGTCGCCATTTAAGTTCAAAATAATACGTATACCACTGGTTGATTGGTACAGATTAACTGTTTCCGTGGAGTTTAACCTATAGATCAGTTAAGAATGGAAATTAGGAACCTAATTCCAAACGGTCTCTATACTCTTAAGCCACATTTGTCAATCGGATTCTGTTTTTATACAAAGTTTTCAATAAGTATGTAACTAACTAAGTAATTTACTGGGATAATAATTTTTAATGGAGTGAATTCAATGATCCTTTCATACTGAAAGGGTGACTTGTACTTTGAAATTAGGAATGTGTTGCTACTATTTGAACTACGGAAAATATAAATCCAAAATAAAAATTTAACCTTTAAGCGTTAGTTCATGATGAAATTAAAAAGATAAACATCGAAATCAATAAACCGCTCAGCGCATAATAGCTCAAAAAAAATTTAGAAAAAATATTTTTAAAAATTAAAAATGCATAATACAAAACGATTGCGTATTCTTTTGTTTTTCATAAGAATTTTTCTTGACTTTCAGAATTGTTTTTCCGAATACGAATACTGTGTATTTCTTAAAGTGTCAACGCTCCTCTAATTGTGGATGGAAGGCATTTTAAAGACAATACGTTGTCTCATTCCCCCATTGAGTCAGGCTTTACATAAAGGTCAAATGGGCCGTATAGGAGTAGTTGGGGGATCCAAGGAGTAGGTTTTTTGCATAAAAATTGCAATTTTAGATATTCTGGGGCACCCTATTTTGCTGGAATAACAGCGTTATCTTGCGTACGTTAAATCTTCAGCATCTAAAATTTCATAGGGAGCTGATTTAGTCCATGTTATTTGTGCTTCTTCAGCAGCTCAAGCCATTAAATGCTACAGTCCCGAATTGATGGTCCATCCTTCACTGTATGTTTATTCTATGTTTTTTCATCATTGTTTAGGGACACTGACATAGATGAGTCAACATTCTGGATTAATAAAGTCCATTCCATTGTAATTGGTCCTGGGTTGGGTAAATCTGCTAATGAAATTGCCGTAAAAGTTGGTTGATTTTCGCCCGTCATACAGTTGTAGATTATGAATTTGGCACGTTCCAATAATAGTCCTTTGGTGGTTGATGCCGATGGACTTTACGCCGTTAGTCAAAATCTTGAGACTGTTCGTAATTACAAACATGTTATTCTCACCCCAAATGTGAATGAATTTAATCTGCTATACAAGACTGTTTTCCGTAAATGACCTTTCAGATAAATAGTGAAGCTGTTTAGAAACTGAACCGTCTGATGATCCACAAGAAACTGTAAAGTTAGCACGCCAACTTGAAGGTGTTACTATTGTTCGCAAAGGACCGAGTGATATCATTTCAGACGGGGACCAGCGTAAGCTGGCTATTTTTAATCATAATATTGTTTACTTTTTTCTTGTTCGCAGTTATTGTTTATAATTTTGGGGGTTCCCCGAGGAGATGTGGTGGTCAAGGCGATCTTCTCTCTGGAGCAGCGGCTGTTTTCAGCTTCTGGTTCGCCAAAGCAAAAATCGATGGCCCGTAAGAGGCTTTAGATATCTAGTTATTTTAATTACTGATGCTTACATAATATAATTTATCCTTGGCCGGGATTACTAGTTTACTTATCAGTAATATAAGGCCGTATAAATGTATTGGACTCTCCAACCCTATAAACCGAACTAATAACATTTTCATCAACTTGTTTGTTTCTTGTTAAGCCTAAGAAAGGTCGATATTTGTCACTGGCGTTTATCAAATATGCCTAGCTTATATTGAGTTTTCACCCTTCCACTTTATCAGCTACAGTTATGGTTGACCCCGGAATTAATTTAATCCTTTCTGTTTAGATATTCGTCCACAATGCTAGCTGCGACTGCTGCCTGTATGCTGACACGCCTGTGTGCAAAGCGGGCTTTTGAAAAATATGGCCGCTGCACCATGACAAATAAGATGATTGAAGAAATCGGCCCGGCGTTTGAAGAATTATTTATAGCCTAATTTTGGAAATGCATTCTTAATTTTCTAAAAAGTGACTTTGCATTACTATTTGTCCTTCTAAATCATTTTAAGGGTCATAGATATTGTAATGCTTCAAGATGATTTTGGATTTGCTCAGTGGGAATTTGAAAATGAATTTTGTATAGAGGTAACTTTGTAATCAGGAGATTGGACAAGATTCTACTCTTCTACGTTATTATGGAAAAGATGAAGAGATAGAACACATGTCTAACTTCCTTGAATGATCATAATTAGCATCGATAAGACGTATATGCTAGAAATTCCAGGATTATAATTATTTCAGATCGCTCTGGATGCACCTGGAGGACACTTGTTTATTCAAAGTGAGTGAGATCACGCATGACTGGGTCAGTACAATATAATCAGGACTCCAGTTTGGCCAATCACTGGTAGATTGAGGATAGATGTTCGGTAGAGTGAAAATCATCGAAACTTATTAAAGGTTTAGGTATGAATCATACATAGGACGAAGCAAAATATGCTGCTCTTCTGAAACAAACTTTAAGCGAAGGAATATACCAAATCAAATAAGCTAAGGACGAATTCATTTCAAAACAATCAGATCGATATAAAATACCCAGTTAGCTTGAATAAGAAGTGCCATTTTTAACATAATCGGAGCAAGGGTTACTTTCTGCAATGCTTAAGATTTAACCCAATAACCTTCTGTACAAATTGGAGAATGTCAAGAAAGTGATCATGAATGGCGAATGCTAATAGTGTTGGATGGAAAATGATCTTTCCAAGGAATAGAATGTTTAACTTTATTTGACAACGGGATAAAACAATTTTTTCAAATTAACCGAGAACATAGACGAAAGTCAAAGGCATGGCTAATTTATTACTTTAACAATGGTAAATAAAGTACTAAAAGGTGATGCATCAATATAAACAACATTAATGATCGAAACGTAGCAAAAAGCTCTACTATTCGTGAATAATTAAAAAAATGAGTCATGTTTGGAAATGACATAATTATCAAAATTTTAGCCTATTATTTCGAAGACGGTCAACCATTTAAATAAATAAACTATTAGGTAACCGAATAAGATGAAAGAATATACTTCAAATAAGTAGCTTTTCATGGATCTGAAAAATCTAGCTATAAATTCATTGGAATTATTAATGAAAGAAAAATTGCTTCCAATAATCTTGCACGTGGTGTGTAGCGAATCTTAGCATGCGTAAAAACAAAGAGGAGATCAAATTTTTAATTATATCTAATCTAATGTTAAAAATCAAAATTGGGCGAATACTTTTAATCCGTTGACTTAAAACTATGCAAATTTTATTTATTTCAATTAACTAAAGGTCACCACGAGGGAGCCAATCCCAGGACTTGTGCATTTTATCTCAGGACTATCGCGATGTGGGAAGACTTGGACGATTTGCTTGATGAATACGCCGACTTTTCCCTGGGAAATGATAATACTTCGGAATTGACAAAATTTATGTGTCAGAAATATGAAAATAAGGTTGATTTCAGTGTTAAAAAATCCAATCAGAATCGAGATAAAGCTGATCGTGCGACCACAGACCATGCTTTGGACAAACGCACGGTGTTTATTATTTTCAAAATGATTCATCAGGGCGATTTTGATAAAATTAATGGCTGTATTAGCACAGGTAGGTTTTCGTGTTTTTGTTGAATTGAATTTGTGTATCCCGGTTTATCTAAGAAAAGTCTAAACAATTTACTTTTAGGCAAGGAAGCAAACGTTTATCATGCCATCAGTTCTAATGGCGATCTGGCGCTCAAATTACATATGACTTCTAAACTTTCATTTAAGGCTCGAAATAAATATGTGCAGGGTGATTTCCGAATGCGCCATGGTTACTCAACGTGCAGTTCCTGGAAATTGGTCTCTAAATGGGCAGAAAAAGAATACCGCAATCTTATTCGAATCGAGAAGGCCGGATCAATTCCTTCTCCCCGTCCTCTTAAGCTTAAAGGTGTTCTTGTTCTCATGACACTTATTGGAAAGAATGGTTTACCTGCGCCAAAACTCAAAGACGTTGCTAATGAGAAGAACTGGTTAGAATTCGGTCCTGATCCTGATTGGCCTCTTCTTTATAGACAGGTTTTAGAGAATGTTCGAACTCTCTTCCAGAAATGTCGTCTAGTTCATGGTGATCTCAGTGAATACAATCTTCTCTACATGGATGGTAGAGCGTGGATGATTGATGTTTCCCAGGTAATGTTTGCTCGACATTAATGCTTTGTTTACAACTCTTTCACACCGTTTGGCAAAATTTTAATGCTTTGGCAAATTATTATTTTTCGGTTTTGGAGTTTATTTTCTACTTACTTTTTTATCTCAATCACTTTGTTTTCGCTGAGTCCACAGCCATTCGTTGAACGGCGTTAATTATGAAATTTTATTTTACCTCTTTGTTCCCCTGGTCCACCTCAAAAATATTGGTGACTTTCTGCGCACGTAAGGCCAAAGATAAGTCAATGAGTACCGGAACTACAATTGGACTTTAAAATTGCTTTCTTAAATCTATTTGCATCGATTTTGAATTTCTCAAAAGGCTATTTATTCCTCACCATTTTAATCTCTACATTTATTTGCTTTCTATCACAATTATGGCCCTAATGTTGAGTATGTATTTACGCCTTAATAGATTAAGAATGAATCATTTTTATGATATATTTTTGACTTTGTCCGTTTATCTTAATGTTTCTACACCAAGATAAGGAGAGCAAAAGATTTGATGTCGTGACCTTGTGAGTCGCTCTTGTGCTATTTGGATTAGCGGTTCTATGATTTATCGTGTTCACACTGCAGATTGTGATTATCAACATCGTTATTTAAATGATTGTTTAAATTTAGGCTGTAGAACACGAATGTGATCAAGCTCTCGAATTGCTACGTGAAGACTGCTACAACGTAAACCACTTTTTCCGTCGTCAAGGTGTTAGCACTCTGACCCTCCGTGAATTCTTTGAATGGGTGGTTGATCCAACTCTTCCTCAAGAAGAAAATGAATCAAAACCCTTTTTAGATGTCATCATGAAGCATGCCGAGGAGAGAGGATTCAACGAAACCCTTAATGTGGAGGACGATGCTTTTCGGCGAGTCTATGTACCAAGAAGGTTGGAGGATGTCAGGCGATATGTGAGGGATTTGAAACGACTCAAGACGGGAATTATCAAACCAGAGGATCTGTACTATACTGCCGTTACCGGCGTGAAGTCTGGATTGCCTTGTAAGTTTTCATCAGCTGGTTAGAGGTTATTTAAATCCTCCTTTCGCTCATAACTAGTATACGACGATGTAACGGCCAGATATGCACTCATTCGTCTTATTTACTTTTTTGCAGTTTAATATATTGGTACTACAGTTTTCGCGGACTTGCTAGTTTATTTTGATTTCTTACATAGTCTTTTTACTGAATATTTATTTTATTAGATTTTACCATCAGTAAATTGTGGTTGGTTAGTTACGTTAAAAACCGACAAGGCAGCTTTATACTTCTATAGCAATTTGGTTTGTTATCTTATTTCTTTCATCATATTGTTCGTATCTTGTATTGCCTGTTAATTAGGGTAGTTGTAATGCCGGCTTTCTGACACACTGTGTTACTTATTTTATTTCAGCAACGCGTATTATTTAATGCTGTTTTTGCAATGCCTAACTTTTCTGTGGTCAAATTAATCTACTTCGATACGGCGTCGATTTATCTTACATAATTTCCGTGTTCACATGCGTTATCCCAAGTAATGTATGTTTTTTTCGGAAAATTATGACGCATATCGTTTAACGATGCAGTTGCATGGAGCAGTTGTATTGCAACAGAATTTGTACCAATATTGCTAATCTTATTAGACTATTTCTTGGTTAATGCCAATTTTCCCCAAATTTGTACAGTAGTCAGCGTATACGTCTGCCAGTTCAGTTTTACCTTTAAGAAAGGTGTATTTGACCTGCTTTGTAGTTGGTTTGGGGGAGGGGGGTGTCATTTGTAATACTCGCTTATGCATATAGATTGGTTGATGCTAATAGCGTCCTCGAACATTAGATGGATTAACTGTTCTAATTGTAATGGCTTCAGAACATTAACTTGGCGATTATCTGTCATTAAATAAGTTAGAAATGACAATTTATAACTACTCTATCGTATTTCCGCAGGCCCCCAAAATGACAACCATCAAGAGGAAGAGGCAGAGCAGGATGAGGAATCAAATCACAGTGATGAAAATGAGGAAGAGGATGAGAATAAAAGGGGTGGAGAAAAGAGGACTTCTGGTTTTTTATCCTCTCGACGACCGAAGAACGAGGATCCAGAGAGCAAGAAAGCACGTAAAAAGGCTGTCCAAGTGGCAAAAGCCGAAAAGCGACGAGAAAAGATTCCCAAACATGTCAAGAAGCGGGCTGCAAAGGGCAAATTATAATCGCCCTTCTCCTTAACGTGTTCTGTGTACAGTCCTTTTTGACTTTGCCCCTAACTTTTAATAAAATCTATATTATATTTGCCAGTAGTTAATGGGAGTTGGAAATTTTATTTCACTAATGCTCGTGTGTGTTGTTAGAACGACAAGAGCTATGGCCTTGGAACAGTGACTATAAAAGGTTGGGCCGAATAAATTTCATTGTTATGGCGTAGGAAGCGTGATCTAAATAAGTATTTCTAAAAGCATATCTTGCGGATAAGGCAAAATGGATTGCAAGTGCATATTAGGAAAGGGGACCCAAGAGCCATTTCCATCTCAAGTGGCGCGCAAGTGGTGTCTATGGCTTTTCAAATCCAAACTTCTAAACTGTTCACTGCGTACTGACAAGTGTTTCATCATTTGATTGCCAAGATTTATAGATGAGACGGCTTTTATCTTCATAGTTCTCACGTGATTTACACTTTGCAGCATGCATGACTAACCAAAAAGTAAACTTGAGAACGTGCCAAAAATGGCCGAAAGCGATTTACCTGCATATTAGTAGCAAAGGCGTAAGTCTACTGCCATGGAGATAATTTGAATAAAATTGCCAAATAATAATTTGAGTTAGAGAGAAACGAGGAACATCACCTTGGGAACAATGGAGATAAAATGTCGACAATAGCATCAATAGGACGAGTAGATGTGGACATGTGGGAACATAGATACCTACGTAGATGACAATCATTACGTTGAGATAGTGCCAATAAGAAACGAATGACGTTTCACGAAGAAGTATTTCGTAAGTAAATACGCTTACTAACCACTTGCTCACCTCCGTGCTGATTAAGCGAAATGAGTGCCTTGACTTATTTCTGCCATTCCTTCTTGGTTCAAGTTAAAGGAGACACCTCCCACACCAAAGGATAATTTCTAGAGGATGCAAATTCAATCGCATTAAATCCAAGCATGTTTAACGAACCATTGAGGCCTTAGTTCATGGATGAAACTATCTGTAGATTGCCAATACTCATAGTTATCCTCTTTTGAGAAACGGGTTGTAATGAAGGTGAAATAGAGTAGAAGACAAATGGAAAAGCGCTCGTGAAGAACACATGCTCTACATTAAGTGCAATATGATATTTGATAAATATATGATTAGAGCTAACCAGTGCCATATGACTAAGCGCTGTGTGAACTTTTAGTTTATATTTATATATGAGTAAATTTAAACATTACCATAAATAAAATTAAGTCAGTTAGGTGCAGGACGATAGCTACCTACAAGCAGGATGAATCATGACCTATATAGCCTTATACATCTCGAACGTAATTAACTCCAATGGATGTGAAACATTTTAACAATTTAAAATAAATAGGCATTCATTTAATTAACGGCTATTGCAGGATACGACTATTAGGCAATCAGCAAATAGTTAATTGAATAAGACATGGGTGATAAGATCCGGGAAAATAAAGCTTTCAAGAAATTCAAAATAGGCTGAGTAGGATTTTATTTTTACAGTGTATTAAAAGCCGAGGCAAGTAAATGCTTTCAATTAAATGAATTTGTAAAGTAGTTAAATATCTGATTAACCGGTTTAGGTAAATTTTTCCATAATCAGGGTTTTTCTGAAGTGGTTTAGGTAAAGAATACATCCAAGTATTTTGATTTTTAGGCATCAAAAGACCATTTTGGCAAGTTTTAGAAAGGAATTTTGTTTTTATCTTCGCATATCAAGAAGATAAGAGCATAAACGAATAGTCACCAAGTTCTGGCGACAACGCTTTCGACATTTATCATTTAGATTTAATCATACACTTGTAAATAATGATAATTGATGGCACAGAACAATAATATAAGTACAGAATCACTTTTTTATAATGGTTTATTAAATAAACCTCTGTTAAATGCATCCAAGATTTCAAGGTGAAATAATTTCCGTGCTTCATCTGTAAACATTTTGGAATATGGGCAAATCTAAAGGTCATGAGTTGAAGAAGTTCTACGGGAAATTGGGGTAACTTTAAAATTTTACTACAAACTGCATCAATTACAGATTTAATTATGAGCAAAACAAGTACGATACGATAATCGGTTTCTCACATGTCGTATCTGTGATTGCGAAAGAGCTGTGTGACATTTACAAATTGAATTTCCTCGTGAACGAAATTCCTTCAAACTCACCCAGTGGAGACGAAACTTCTAAATTCAAACAATCGTTTCTAATTGAATTTTCAGATTTCCTTAGGGAGTATGGTAATTTTTCAAATTATATATTTCTGCCCATTTTAAACCGATCATAATTCGCTTTCATGCTCTCTTTCTAATTGTATAACCTGTGTTATTTAGGATTTCCTTATCTGGAGCTTATTCAAGGAGATATCTCTACAAGATTTGCTTCTCCAAAACATAGGGCGATTATTTTAAGTACGTGTAAATCTTTCATTGTTTCATGTTTTTCCGAGTATAAAATAACTTACTTTATTGCTTAGAATTCCTTTGTGCTGAGCTTGTTGTGGCCCGCAAAATGTGCAAAGAAAGACCACAGAGTGGAAACCAGTCAGATCATTCACAGATAACCTCAGATATTTCTGAGCATTTTTCCAGAGCTTGTCATGCTCTTGGCTTACACCAAACCTCGTTTGGTTCAGATGTCAAGACACTATTTGCTACTCTCTTCGAGTCGGTATGTTTTCAACTTTATTCTCTAACTTTCGTGCTAAGATTGAGTCATAAAGCTTTATTGATCCGACAATTGTTAACCAGTCAAATGTTTTCCACAAATAATATTAAAGTGAAGTAATTTTGATCAATGTGGTGCTCATTATCTTTACTAAATACACTAATCACGCATGCAGCTTTGATCTAGAGCTGCACTGTGGGAAATTGTTGGTGTAAATAAACCTCATCAGTTCTGATGATATTAGTGGACTTTAGTTTAGATTATCTCTATTTCAAAATTGTTAGCTTTTCTTTTGTGAATTAGATTAGGCTTAAACTATTGCACCATCTCTCGTTTTGTTTATGTCTTTTAATACCTACCGACTAGAGTTGTGTGATTCTCTTGCATGTACTTGGTGTGATACCCAAAATATTGATCTTTAATAATTAATGTCAGTTTTATATCGCCAATTGTCGATACCACGTTTGACATGGTCTGTGAATGCTTTGAGCAGTGGGTTAAAAAGCTTTCATTTAAAGCTTTTTTCGTTCGCTTTCTTGTTCTCAGTAAATCCACGATTTGCCAGTGGATGCATTTATTTTTAATATTTTTGGCTTTTCCATTAACTATAATTGGTGTACTATGTATTTGTGGCTACTTTCGGCTGTATTTTAACCGAACAGAATATTTCCGCCTTTGTTGCTAGGACGATAAAAATGTATTGACTGAAATTATTGACCAATAATCGAAGGGATACCATGGCCCATTTAGTAAAACCCGGTTGTTTTCCAGTCTTATCTTGAGAAATGAGGCAAATAGTGTCAGTGGCTTTGCGTCTTACTGCTTACTGTTTATACTATTTAATTTCTTTCGTATTCTTAGTATCTTTATTGCTTCTACTTCCAGACCTCCAAGGCTCTAAAGTCTGCTCCTCCCAATTATATTGGCAAGCCAATGCTCCCGATAACCGGTCTCTCAGACGATCAGTGGACAAAGATTTGTCACATCGGGCAAGTCCTTGACACAGAGTACACCAGTCGTCGGGAGACCCTTATCAAACGTGCAGATTGCACTGTTCAAAGCTTCAAATGGTCCGATTGTGGAAAAGTAAGCTTTCTATTTTATTGCTATTTGGTAATTATGATATACACTTTATCAACTTGAATCATGAGTATAAAATGTACTTTTGCACATTTTTATTAATTTATTATGGATTAATTAATTGGCCAGTGGGGTTTGAAGATTCAAGTTCGGATAATTAAAGAATTTACCATTTTCCCTTTTTGGTTTAAATTCGTATAATATTCAGTGGACAATTGTACTATTTCTATAATTGTATTACTTCATATTGGTTTAATTTTTTCCTGCTATTGGCTATCATTTGGAATTCTAGATCATCTCAAATTTTTTTTAAAAAATTGAACTGTAATATCGTATTCATGACTTAAATTGGATTATAAAATGGCTACTTGTACTGGGGCTGGCACTAGATGATGGAGACTAGCTTAAATTAAAATATGAAAAAATATACACAGAATGAATCGAGTTTTTTAATGTAAAGTATCTCACATTCCTCGTTTTTAATGTAATTGAACTGGCTTTCTATAAATACCTTTTTATATGAGCTTTCTTATGGAAAATAGTCCCAACGTTTTCGTATCGTCACAACCGACGATAGAAAAGGATATCAGAAGCTAGAAGTTTGATGTTTTCTTAATTGTCCAATCTGAGCTATGTTTAACTATTTAAGAATGCAACGTTTTTGCAGGTCGACAGCTACATACCATTTTTGGTATTATGTTATTGAAATCTATTCCAGACTGTTGCATTACTAAATACCTTTATTAGTTAATCTTTGTCAATTGTTTTTTTGCTGAATTTTACATTTTGATAAATACAAATGATCTTTTTGAGCAATTCAGGCATGATGGATCGGTTGCATCACAGATGCCATTAGTTCCGATGGTTAAACCCATTCGTGTTTCCAAGGTTTCTATCTTGGTTATTACTAATTATTTTCTCAACCACACGGTACGCTTACTTCTGTGGAGCCATTCTGTATCTCCTAGTCAGTTGTATTAATTATTTAAAGAGAATGATGTTGCTTAAAACTCTATCAAGAAATCGTTTTCGCGCAGGAGCATTCTAGAAAGTGTGGTGGGCAACTGATCACTTCGCAATCACGTGCATAGTGCTTGTAGAGACTCAACCAGTAAGCGATCAATTTTATGCAACGTAGCATGCCGTTGATTGTATATGAAGCAGTTTTTATGCCCATTCACTTATTTTCTCTCTGATTCCTTTTATTTCTTTTCATGGTTTACAAAATGAAAATTGGTCCAAATAACTCATTATGTTCTATTTTTGCAGTTTTAACGACTAACTTTATTTTCAGCTTCTGGAATCTGCTTCTGATTAATTAATTCCTTCAGTTCAATGAATGACACGGTGAACATTCATCCTCACTGTTTACCGGGTGCTTTAATCGCTATTTTGTAATTTGTCTTGGCTTTTAACTGCTTTCCTTCTAGTTCTTATTGATGCGTGCATCAAATCTAGTCGTAGGAAAGTAGCCATGTTTTCCATCATAGCACAAGTGACGAGGGCTTCTTCGAAAACCACTAAAATGTATTAAATAGTTTTTACTAACTCTAGACAAAAATGGAAGAGATTGAACGTACGTATAATCCTCTTCGTGGAGCAATGAAACTTCGTCCCTGGCTTAATATGATACCCCACATCTTAGCAGCTCGTGACGTCCAACTACTCCGTTTGGAGAAGACTTCCAGTGGATTGGCACGAGAGTTCACTTCCACCCCACTTAATCGCATCCTGATGTCCGAAAAAGTGCCTGATCGAGGTGGAAGAGCTTGGGAGATTGAAGCGCCTCCTCCAGAAATGCCTTCCTTTAAAAAACGACAAGCTGGGGGTGGACGTGGTGGTGCAGGCAAGTCTTGGTTATTTAAGTTGCTTAGTAGACGCGGGTTAATTGGATAACTCTAAAACCACAACATTACTAATTTTGATTAAGTAGGGCGTGACTAATTTATTCTCGTAGTCGTGTATTTATTTAAATGCCTAGGTAAATTCGAGATAAAGCTTTGTCTTACGAAGGGGTGAATAAAACTACTCCTTTGAAGATTTCAAGGTTGTGATAAACAAGTCATATTAAGAGTATGTTAATCGAAGTCCTTCAAAATGTTTCCTTATGTAATCTGTCTTACTTAAATGATGTGCCTCAGATCAAAGGTGGGATTAAAATTAAATCACTAATTTTGCGGCCGGGTACAACAGCCTTTCCCAATTGACAACTAGAAATGCACAAGCCTGGTAAGGAATAAAATGGAAGGTTGAAGGCATTATTAATGATCCAGGCTAAGATGGTTAAGTTTAATAGACGAATGAGTGCGATGGGAGTTGTGCGGTTGTGTGCCTATTGCTCGTCAAAGGATAACCAATAAAATTTATAAAATCCACTTGAGACGGGCAAACATGAGTGTCCGTTTGTACGCAGCATGTAGGTAGCTTGAAGTACTTGTAGGTTATCATATCTAACAATGAATGACAGACTCCTGCATTGCAATATGTGCTCTCCCCAGATATTGCCTTTCTTCACTAATCGGATTGAATGTGTCTCTGGCAATCAGCCCTTGTGATTCCCACCATTCTTTCCCATTCTCACATTCTCATTCTTACGGACTCCCCGTCTCCAGTCGCACTCAAAATTTGTCTATCAATCCCACTTTTTTGAACTCCTGGTGTTCATTGGGCTCAACAGAATCAAGGTGATTATACGTGATCATGTCTCACAGGATTTGGTATATCTACAGCAATCTTTTAAATATCACTATTTCATTTGATCTTCTATCCTAGATCGGGGAAATCGTGGCAGTCGTGGTGGTGGGCGCGGTGGCGGCCGAGGTGGTGGTCGAGGCGGAGACGGCGTAGGAGGTGGACGCGGTGGATTTTCTGTCAATGATTCCTTTGGTAATGTTAGTGGCAGCAGTGATTCACGTCCTCAAACAGGCATCTCCTTTGAGCGCCAAGATGATCTCATGCGAAGTCCTGGTGACATTGTCTTCCAGGTAGGCTTAGTTGTCAAATTTGTGCAGATTTTACGTCGTTTTCGTTGAATAATCGCATATTAAGTATTTGAAGGCTATCTAGTTTAAAAATGGGTGTGGAATTGAAGTCCCCACCAGTCAATAGAGATTTCATTTGAAATTATGATTTCACGAATAAGGTACAGTCAGGGGATGTAACACGAAATAAGGATTTGTTACTAATACTGATTACTCTTTAGTCACCTTTATTTTTCATCTTTATGTTGTCACGACTCCAATCGCAATTCGTTATATCTAGACGAGCTTATCGATCTCCTTTTTTCTCTAACGGCCCCATTTTATTCAAAAGCTCAACTCCGCTCATACCCTTACGTGTGTGGGGTTGTCAACGTGACTCAAGTTAACTGTCTTTGTATTGTCACGATCACAAGCTCGTGGAGGGAAGTCGCTCTCATATCCTCCCTCCCCCCTATCTCTCTATTTCTCTCCCGAATCCTCATTGTGGTTCATTCAAGACACTTTGTTTAGCAAAACTGTCTTCCACTGTGCATAATTGCCGTCTGGTATTTTTAGCTGTTTACTATCTGATAGCACGATCTGGTTCAGTAAACCTTCTTACGGTTAATTAATCGGTTCCATACCTTTGGAGTATTTATTGGATCCGCCTTCCATCTTTCGAGTTATGGAAGCAACAATTACATCGAAAATAACTGCAGTTTGTGCTGCTAACCTTAAAATAATTGAGTCCTTAGCCATCTGCGCATTTCGATATTTTCCAATGACTGTTTCAAACGAAGACCAACAGTTTCGTGTTGACTAAAAGTTGGCTGCTCTGCTCTCTTTAAAATATTTTACCTTTATCCATTTTAAGGGAGATAGTCTACCTTCAGCGAGGTGAGTTTCGATTTTGCCTTATTCTTTAAACATTAAATCTCTCTGGTGCTTTGGACTTCTAAAGAAATTGCCTTTTATGTGTTAGCGCCAACAGTTGACAACATTTCGCCTCCTAACTAACTTCACCCCAAAAATATTACTCTTTTATCATTTTGCACTATATTCTCACGCCACGTGCCTCCTTTCGAGAACGGTTAGCGCCTAATTACTGTTTACGATTTTTTGCTACTGTGATGTTCTGGCGTTGATAAGCGATCTATACAAGTTGGACTTGCACCCGGAAAATGTTTGCGCATATTAATTTACCTGTAGATTCTGAATGACAGCGGAGTAATGACGATAATAGAAAGTAATGCTTATTGCTAAACAACGCCCTACTTGCACCTTCTACAAGAGTAAAAATAATTATAATAAAAACTGTTATTGTCAATGAATTGCAATTGATATTGATAATAATGTTTGTCTTTTTAGCCTCAGTTCTTCACTAGAGGTCGAAGAAATCGCAGATAAATGATGCATCCTAAACAAATACTTCCTTTCGAGATATATTTTCATTGCGTCTTTGGATGGCCTTCCCTTTCTTGAATTTGCAAATAAAATGTTGCTTGTTTTACTAACTAGTGTTTTTTATCTAAATGAGGTAGAAAATGCGACATTATTTTTGTTTGTTTTAAAAAGCCTTTCTTCTCCTCACTTCGGGACTCGGTTTTAAAGAAGGTGATTCATTTAGGGTTGAATTGCACTTCGTTATGATGAACTAATCGATTAGAGAAATAAATGCCATGTTTTAGTATTTTTTCGCCTAGTTGATTAAAATCGTTGCTCGAGTGAATGTATCATGCTGGGTGGGTGGGGGGGGGGGGGGGGGGGGGGGGTTGAATTGCTTATCGATACAATTGTGGGGCAAAAGTTTGCAGAGCAATTAATAAAACATCTATCTGAGTAAGACTAATTAGACATTGTGCAACGCACATAGAGAATAGATTAGTAATTCCACATTGAACGAGGATTAAGTGGGTAAAACTAGAAATTGGATTGCTTCACTAAGTCCCGAAAATCACCAAGATTCTGGGGTGGATTGGCCCTTCAAAATTGCTGCTAATTTGCGTTTATGAAATTCTGTAATGCGTTAAAATTGAACTTGCAAATGCTAATCTGAATTACAAATTGAGCCCACCATTTAAAAAGTTTATTTCTTTAATTTCTAAATAATTCGCTTCTTAATTTCACTTAAGTACTAATTAATGGACTGACTAAACTCGGCCCTGAAAAATTTTTATACAAATATTACCTCCTTTCTGATTGGTCGGTTGTGGACATTCACGCAAATGTATTCATGTATAAAAGGCCTAAAAGGTGGTGATGGGATATGACAACTGACAAGCTCGTAAACGTCTTTAGAGATGAATTATCTAATCACTCCGTTTACTATTTCCCTTCTGGTGGTTCTCTCTTTATCTGCTCCAGCAAAATTATCGAGCAGCCATTCGGCACTTGATCAAAGGATCAAAATAATTGAACTTCACTCGACAAATCTCCTTGGTGAACGTTCGTGGAGGTATGATTCGAACAAAGAGCATCCAGTTTTATTTAAAGTCACTCTGCTTGAAACCAACTTTGTAGAACTCGATCCTACTTGTTTAAACAGTTCGTATGTCGCTATTACGGATTCAAATAATGCCTCTGTTACATATTGTACTTATTTGAAAAACCGAGAACTGAGAATCTTTTCGGCAAATTTAGAGATTGAAATTGTTTCTTCTGACAAGAGCCTTGAAGATCAATATGTAAAATTCTCATATGAAATTATTGATGTGGGAACGCAACTGATTTCACCGCTATGCAGTCATATTAAGGAAGAACATCGTAAATTTTGGCCGTGTAAAACACAATTTTACTCAGACAACCTCTCAGATATAGTCTGTATTCCTTCTATGCAAATTTGTGATGGCATAATACAATGTCCAGGGAGTGAAGACGAAGATGTCAATATGTGTGATGCTTTGAAGCTAAAGAAGTTCAAACTTCCACCACTGAGATATGAAGAACCCATTGGGCCCGTGGGTAACGAAGCTTGTCCCAGTAATGCGTTCTACTGTCATAACGACGCCAAATGCATAACCCCCGCTAATGTATGCAATGGAGTACAAGATTGTCTTGGAAACATGGATGAATCACCAATCGCATGTGACTGGAAGAAAAAGAAATCTGATATCCCCAAGTGTAATGGCACAAATGTGAATGAAACATCGATATCTTGCATCAAGGATTTCAAGATTCTATGTCCAGCAGAAAATATCTGTTTACCCGCCAGTGTTGTCTGTAATGGAATAATCGATTGTTCTGATGGATACGATGAAGGTCCACAAGCTTGTAAAGCAATTGGAGATTTGGGACAGCAGTTGATTGAGGAGCAACCAAAAGATGATATTTCAATGTCTACAGATGGAAACCTTTCAAAGATTCCTTATGAAGAAAAAATCGACAAAATAACAACTGGCGCTACTGAAATTTCTCCACTCCCATCAACTAATTACCCTGTTTCTACCTTAAATCAGGCTGAAGTCCCTAAAACTATATCTTCAAACGCCTCAGTTACTCAAGAAGAAAGAACTTCTGAATCTGCAGAAGTTTCTTTAAGTAAGGTTGACAAAGTTAATGAATCAAAGGAGCATTCCTATCTAGAAATAGATACTACTCATGAGCATAACCAAGACACATTTACTACGCCTACTAGCGAAACTTCGACTGATTATAATATTGCAACGAACATTTTAGTCGAAAGTCTTACCACTGGATCCAATGAAATCCTTGCGGACATTGGTCCAAGATTGGGAAATGCTTCGTGGACTGCTATAAATGGGGGTTCAGAGGTTCCATCTAGTGAGTTAAAGGCAGAAACCGAGATTTTTCAATATTCTGTTAAAAACAGTGAATTCTCAACAGTATTTCCTGAAAAATCCAATCAGGCTATGCAATTGATGGAACCAATTTCAGAACCGGAAGGAATAAATCTTGAATCAACTTCAGAGTTGCCTTCTGAATTAACGGATTCAACGACGATTGAACCAGAAGAGCTAAATTTGAAGAAATTGGCTACCTTTACAAGTGATGAAGGTGAGATTGTCTTTCCACCTCTCTGGATTGCTCGTGTTTCCAGTGGTTTTACCTTTCTCTGCTATGGAATCCTTCTGGACTTAAAGAGCACTTCTAGATGGGTTCTTATCCCATCTTCATGTGGACAGTATTTGGAACCTTCTAGAATGAGAGTCCACTTTGGAGCAGGAATCGATAAATATGAGTGAGTTGACTCTAATTAACTTGACCAATATTTGCGAATTGAGGTGAAATTTGATTAAATTCCTTAAGAGTATACGTCTCGAAATATTATAGCAAATTCTGGGCTGAGATCATAATACTTTGGGGACTAGTCGCCAGTGCGAAAATAGCTTCTGTTTATAATATGAAATGTTATTTGACCCATCTTATTTCAAAACAAAATCTGATAAGTAGAATTTCAAAAGTGAAATGAATTACACTAATAGGCAACTATTTTTCATAAATTTCATATAATACGAATAGTTTTTTACTTACCAATCGAATATCATTATAAATTAGATGTGGCACTCCAAAAATACCCACTATTTCAAAACTGTATGGCTAAAACAATCGTCTTAATTATGGATAAAGCTCGAAGTCAAATTTTACTCATTCAATTAACTTATTACTATATTAATTTAATCTTCGAATGCATGTCATAAGTGCTTTTGCAAACATTTTTTACCATGTTTGAGTAGGACAAAATTTCCTGGTGAATTCGACCAGTGTTTGTTTAATACAAATCGACACTATTGTCCAAGGCTGTATTCATTATAATAAATTAAATTAAAAATGGAGAGGAAATCAGCAGGTTCTTTAGGAAAGCCACAACTTCAAACTTTGAAACGAATTGATAAAATGGACTTATTATGCGAACTGACCCGTTAGGGAATGCTGAAACTTCGATCAATAATTCGATTCTTAATTTCCACCAGGATTAATGGTGAAGTTTTCCATTAAAATAAGAGTAATTATCAATTCCATCCCTTACTAATTATAGGTAAGTTGAATGAATGGATGTACATAAACTAGTTAGAGGGAAAAAAGATTCCACTTTAAAGGTTGCATTAACTGGAGTCGGAGTTAAGTTCTGAGATTCTGAAAGTGCAGCCTTGTTTTGATGCTTACGAACTTGAGGCTATCCTTTAAAGCTTCATTAAGGGTAATTTTGCTGAAGAACAATTTTGGAAAATTCCATAACCGTTTTTTCGTAAAAAAATGTTTTTGTATAGAGGACAACAACAATTTATGTAACTTTAACTGATTAAATGGTGAGGTCTCTTCCAGCTTCCTAACTGTTACAATTTAAATACTGCTACAATTCAATTTGACCCAATTGCAAAAATTAACTTTTTCTCCATAGGGTTTCCTATCCCCCCCTTACCACTAAACTGTCCAAAATGTATTTGACATTTTTTGTAACATCAAATTTCTGTTTCTGGGATAAATATAGAACTAGAAAAGGCATCTAAATATAGATATCCGTGTGGCTTTAATGGCCTCTCTCAACTCTAACACCGGATATTCTGTCACTGCAACTAGTCCTGTGAAATTGCGGATATCCGCTTCAAAATAACAAATATAGGCGGTTTTTTGGCTTACATCAAAACGCCGCCAAAATGACGGTTGTGTATTATAAGCCATTGAAAAGTATAGCCCAACCTACTTTGTGGGGAATTTTCTATTTATAGCTATTTGGTGTTCTCAACGAAAAAATAAATGTCTAAATGATCAAGCAACACCAGGAGAATGGTTAATGAAATTAGTTTCATAACTCGGGCCAAAATTTATTACCGAGCAAAATCTCCAAGCAATTAATTGTTCCGGAATTTTCCAAACTGTCGACCTACAATGAAGTTCGAAATATTGTTAGTCGAGAGTAAATACCAGGGCATACAAGACTCTCAAGGCCACAAAATTTATTTATGTCAAGTAACAAGCATTTGATAGTTATCATTAGCCCTTCACAGAGGGGGAACATCAAAACGAGAAAAAGTCGAGGGGGGGGGGGGGAAGAAGAGTGATTCACAGATGTAAAAGAGACAGACAGACATAAGGGCAAGGAAAAGGTAAGGTGAACACCGTGAAAGTGGTCGAATATGACATACAGTGGGGTGATGGTAGTTTAAAGTCAGAAGCCAGCTGCCGGTTAATAGACCCTTTTGCCATATGGGTATACGTTGCCCGGGGCGCCCCTCGTGGAGGTAAGTCTATCGCACGTCCCTGGCTATATACATATAACAGAAAAATGATTTGTTGAATTACCCATATACGTTAAACATGCTCACTCACACAACGAGTCCCACTAAAGTCTAAACTTGTCTTCATTCACACACGTGATGATGACAAAAATTGATGAGCTG